AGCGTTGCTAATATTATCAATCACTGGTCTGGTCCAGACTCGATTTTTTACAGGCATCCACCATGTAGCTAGTATGTTGCTGAATGCCGCGTTGAGCAACACACAAATAAACGAATCTGAAATCTTCTTAAGACTTGGCGGTAGGGGAAATAACCGAATAATACTTGATGATCACGTTTCCTGCTTTCGAAGCGCAAGTAAAATTCAACACACACCCGTCCACAATAAGCTCCTCGGTCGCCAGCAACTTGACGTTACAAACGTTATCGCGTGCAGCGTACACATGCTGCATTTGAGCGTTGGAGGGCTGGTGACCATGTGCTGATAGCAACTGCAACTAAATTACTTCCTGTATGAAAACAATACTATAGTGTGACCTACGCGTAAGTGAATGACAAGGTAGACAAAAGGACAACGATGTAAGACCTGTACCGAAACGTCGCTATAACAGGTATAATAAAGACGTTGTTATAAATACAGTTTTTGTCTACTTTCCAATTCTAAGAAATACCTATCAAACAATTTATCCGTGAGTGAACGTTGTTATGCGCCAGTCAGAAACATTCCAGCTATATCAAGGCGGCGTGTGCATTATCGAGTTTCGGCTCGACATACCTGTGGTTGATGGCATAAACTACGCTGTCGGGGCATGAAGACACAGCATGACATTATGGCCATGTCCTACTTATAGGAGACGAACCTTTCTAATCTGCCAATGGGAATGGAAGCTTTAAATTTTCGTTACGAGTGAATCGTTTGACTCCGCATACTAACAGGGAAACATACGAAATCTACACACACTCCCTGATACTAGTATCTGCTTTCTGTTTCTCGAAGACGAACGTAAATGGGCAGTTCCGAATGAATAATAATAAAGGCCGCGATACATATGTTATGTGTATTTTCTTCACTCTGTTGTTGATATCTAGACCCAAGATGGTTTAGTATCTAAGGATGATTTGTTTTGTTTGGGTATTGTTTTGTTGAGATTGACATTTCCGAAGCGAGGTGGAAAAGAAATGAAACCGAATCATTAAAGAAAGCTAACACCTGATTGGTACAACAATCCTCTCGGTTCGCTCAGCGTTTACCTTGAGTAATCCTGTGTGAAGGGTTTGTCAGATCTTGAAGTATAGATATATCGAATCGGAGTAAGCTATCTGACCAGTATCCTGTTGGTGAGGACCGTTTCTCAGTCATGTGTTTGCCTATCTGGACAGACCGCCCCGTGGTCTAATGTTAGAGCGTCTGCCAGGCGACCGGAAGGTCGGGGGTTTGATCCCCGGCCCCGTCATACCAGAAAACGTTAAAAGATGGTACGTTTTGTTACCCTGCTTTGCGCTCAGCATTACGTGTACTGAGCAGTTCGGAGTCAGTATACTGTGTCTGAGTGGGGTATTCATGTTAAACTGGTATGGTGTGTCAGTGGGTTAGCACTGTAAAATCGGCATTAGTCCGGACTACTACAAGCAGCCGCACACAGGTGCATACCCTTCGTTATATCAGTGGAATAATCTTGTACTCGACGTTAAACCCGTTTCACCTCCCCTTAGACTAAAATCTAGTCTCTGAAATGAACATATCGTACATAAAAAAACAGTTGTTCAGTTATCATAATAAAACTATAATAAAAAGGAGCCCAGTGACTCTCTTCATTTTCAGATACTGCAGTGATCTAGATTTGCCAAACATTATAGACTTGCATGGGCTGTATTTGATATATATTTGTATCAGGGTCTGTAAGACAGACTAACCTCCCCTCAACTGACCTATTTACAGGCTGCGGTGCTACAGTTGGAATAAAGCCGAATGTGGCGCAAAACAACATTCACTCACTCACTCATAACCGGGTTAGAACTGGTCTACAGCAACCCATGTTTGTCTTTAGAGGCGACCATGCTTGTCGTAAGAGGCGACAAACAGGATCGGGTGGTCAGGCTCGCTGACTTAGTTGATGCATGTCACCGTATCCCAAGTACGTAGATCGATGCTCATGATGTCAATCACTGGATTGTCTGGCCCAGACTCAATTATTTACAGACCGCTGTCATAAAGCTGGACTATTGCTAAGTGCGGCGTTAAACAACATTCACTCTCTCATACTACTGTCACACAGACAGACACGAACACTTACATATAATGCATAATATTTATTCCAAGGACGATATTGTTAATAAACACATATTCTTCATACATCTCATAGAGATGGATGTCAATGCACAATGGGTTCCCAAAAGAGCAACTACGAAACACGATGGGACTAAAATGAGACTCAATATGATCTTTGACAATATTTGTAAAGTTACTTCGATCATGGATAGATGAAGACAAGACATGTAAATAATCAATAAAACGCCGAACGTCTGACGATATTAGTATGTATCTGTATTTCCATGATTTATGTATATGAAATGACCCGATCATTGAAGTATTTACTCGACTACATGGCAGTGTCGGGGGTCGGTCCCCGCTGGTTTGTCCCCTCCAGACTCGACCAGACACACTGAACGCCACAGTAATGTAATTCGATATTATTTACAACACTCATCCTCAATTACTGTGATCGTTACCCTATCGTTAGCCATTCGCCACCATCGCTTCGTTTTTTGAAGTGACGTCACAAACTTCGCTTGCGTGATTGAATTTAAAACCAATGAAAATGCCTCTTCTAAACTCGAGTTCGGCATAGATCTGTACCCAAAGTGTATGAACTTTCAGCTGAGTACTAGTATATAGACAGTCCTTATGCTACAAGACATCCTGCCTGTATTTGAGTTGGCACCCGTGAAGATCCGGGTTCGCATTGGTCTTAAGAGTGAGTTGGTGAGTTTAATTTTACACCGTTTTTAGCAATATTCCAGCAATATCACGGAGGGGGACACCAGAAATGGGCTTCACACATTGTGCCCATGTCGGGAAGCGAACACAGGTCTTCGGGGTGACGAGCGAACGCTTTAACCATTAGGCTTCCCGACCATCCCATGTCTTCAGAGACACATGCTTGTCGTAAGAGGCGATTTACGGGATCGGGTCGTCAGGCCCGCTGACATGGTTGATGCATGTCTTCGTATCCCAACTGCGATGGTTATGCTCATGATGTCAATCAGTGGATTGTCTGGTCCAGACTCTGTTATTTACAGACTACCGTTAACAAGTGCGGCGTTAAACAACAAGCAAACAAAATAATAATCGTTTCTTGTTTCAATCCCGATAAAACAGTGTAATTTGGTTGAACGGCATTTTATGGCGTCATGGCAATCGAACCGGACTCAACCTAAAATAACATTGTGTTTGTTTGTTTGTTGTTTAACGCACCACTCAGTAATATTCCAGCTACATGACGGCGGTATATAAATAATCGAGTATGGACTCTCATGATGTCAATCACTGGATTGTCTGGTCAAGACTCGATTATTTACAGACCGCCGTTATATAGCGGGAATATTGCTAAGTGCGGCGTTAAGTAACAAACAAACAAGCATTGGATCGAGGAAATAACAAACAAACAAGCATTGGATCGAGTAACAAACGTACACCAAACTCGTTAATATATCTGCGGTTATTTCAATGTTCGCATGATTACAGCAGTGTTGAGTCTTTGATAGACATAAAGAAGTTGGAAGAACATGAATACATGGCACTTTTTGGAGATAGCAACTTCTTTTATTCTTTGTCACGACGTTTCAGAGCTACTTCCTGATCCTTAGCACTCAACATTCACCCGACCAAGGAGCAAGAAGTAGCCCTGAACGTCGCGACAAAGTCAAGTTGCTATCCATAAAAAGTGTCATGTATTTATACGGCAGTGTTGAAATGTACATTGAATACTGGAGTAGCTGTTGCTAGGGATAATGCAGCAGAGCGTGCGCCCAGGAATGACCAGGATTCGCGGACGATGCTGGTTGAGATTATGACAGTTGTGAGTTTTAGTAATGTGTAGACTTGCACAGGTCCCTAAGGCAATAATTCTTAGTTTAAATCATAATTTCTTGATTATGAAAAAAAAGAACAAGTTGTCCCTATAAGAGACTGGAGTCCTTACTGTCCACATATCTAGACTTGCCTATAAGGAGGATAGAATTACTACACATCCATGGACTTTTCCTTCAGTACAGACTTGGAGCAAGGCTCCACGACGGAACACAGCATTCACCTATTCAGTTTGGGGAAGCTTATGTGGGTGGACGTGAAAGTCCAGTACGGGCAGAGACATGAAGTGTGAAGCCCATTCTCAATACCCCGCTCTATCCCCCGGCGACTGGGAGATCCTACACGCCCACCGCGTCAGTTTGTAAACGATAGCTGACAAGTTAAGTCAGATGTGGTGTTTTGTGTACCAAGCTTGAAATGTTAACTATTTTTTGTGTTTTTGTACAAATATTCGCGCCATAAAAAATCATCCCCATATACTAATGTCACTATCTCCATATGATTTAATATGTCCACCCACATAATGAGTCAAGAGTGCCACCTTGTAGGACCTTGTAGGAGGTGAAACAGCACCAATCAGACTTACTGTCACCCATTCTCTGCAGAATACTTCCCCTGTACCGTCACAATACACTGGCAGTTAGTATCTTTAGTAAAACATAGTTAATTCCTTAAAGAGTTTCTGGTAAGATACTTAATGCTTGTGTTTTTCATAAACTCTATATCTCCATCTTGTCTCTACCCTGTTTTCCCCACTTTTGGGGTCCACCTCCGTGGTTATTGATTAGAGCGTTTGTCCCTTAGATCGGAAGATCAGGGGATTCGATCCCCGGCCGCATGAAACCGTTAAAAGTACTTATTATTACCCTGCCTGCATAAAAGGGATCAAGCATGGACTGTTCGATTCGGAGCCAGTATATACCCCGGCCGCGTCATACCAAAATACGTTAAGAGATGGGATTTGTTGTTACCCCGTCTGGCGCTCGGCATTAAGGGGCTAAAACAAGGACTTGTAGGCTAGAGTCAGTATACTGTGTCTGATTGGAGTATTCGTGTTAAACTATGGCATGGTATCCCAGTGGGCTGGTACTATAAAGCCAGCATTAGTCCGGACACGCATAGGTACACGCACACACGCATGCTCATATAAATGCTATATAAAAATATATAGCGACGTTAAACCCCATTTCACTCCACGGGACATAACCTCACCTCCATCATTATGCCTAAGTAGGGGTTGGTGACTCTATTAATTTCACTATCGAAACAATCAGTTACGTAAATCACAAGACTCTTCTTTTAAATGTAGTACTTAGTACCCACAGACATCAGATCCGAAGATTCTTTCGACCTATTGTTGGATACTTTCCAATGAGCTGATGTAGAAGTTCTCAATAAATCCTGTACAATGAATCTCACACAACATATCACACGGTTGTTGAGCAGAATGCTTAACATCGCATCAGTCGCTCTTAACACAGTCTTCACAAACACCTTGAGATCGGTCTTAAATGCATGTGTTCCTGAGACGTTTAAAAGCACATCAGTCTCACGGAAGCACCGAAGAATGTCGACGACGTAATGCTGAAGTGTGAGGCTCAACCACATAACAGAGTTTAATTCAAGCTCGGGCTCATTTTCCCGGGCGTTGATTCCTCCTATTTGAATTCCGATCACTTTTAGGTTTGCTGTTCCGACCAGGTTTATTTGGATTAACCCCTCCCTCCCTTTTCGCTTTGGGTTGAACTCTTTGAGTAGGTCTAGACACAGTTCTCTGACTTGAACCCTGTCGTCTGCTTTCTGGGCGGCGACGCTGGTTCGTCCTTGACCTTTGCCTTGGCCTTTGAGTCGGTCGACGTCGTTGAGCAGGTTTCCTGGTAGGTTTGGGTTTATTTCTGGGATTAACTTCATTTTTCTCCTTTTTCTTTGAACATATAGTGACATCACAGTATTGCCATTGTTTCCTGGACTTCGTGGTGAAGCACCATGGCTTCTTCCGCCTCATGCCGCTAGGGTTCCGGCAGTGGTTGTGGTCTCCCAGCCCGTCACTGTCCTCCTGTCCCCCTGATGTCTTAGGCTTGAGTTTGTGGCTGTGGGGGTACTGCTCAGACCATTTCTGACACGTGATGCCGTCCAGGGTGTGGTCAAGTTTGCCTCTGTAGTCGCGACCGTCCTTGTTTCGACCCTTCACGCACTTTCCTGAAACCATAGCAACATAATTTGTAGGACGATGCTCGATGCTACTAGACATCATCATCGAGTATCACATACAAAATAAAATCCATTAACATAATACCATGACAGTGGTACAACACACGTGCGTCCTGCTATTATCGACCGCCTCCGTGGTCTAGTGGTAGAGGACCACCTCCGTGGTCTAGTGGTAGAGGGTCCGCCCGGAGAGCGGAAGGTCCGGGGTTCGATCCCCGACCGCGTCATACCAAAAGACGTTAAAAGATGGTACTTGTTGTTACCCTGTCTGGCGCTCGGCATTAAGGGGCTAAAACAAGGACTGGTCGGCTCGGAGTCAGTATACTGTGTCTGAGTGGGGTATTCATGGTAAACTGCGGCATGGTATCTCAGTGGGCTAGCACTATAAATCGGCATCAGTCCGGACTAGTACAAGCAGCCACACAGACACACACACACGTACATGCACGTCGCTATATAAGTGCAATAATCTTGGACGCGACGTTAAACCCCATTTCACCTCACCTCTAGTGGTAGAGCATCCGCCCGGAGAGCGGAAGGCCCGGGGTTCGATCCCCGACCGCGTCATACCAAAAGACGTTAAAAGATGGTACTTGTTGTTACCCTGTCTGGCGCTCGGCATTAAGGGGCTAAAACAAGGACTGGTCGGCTCGGAGTCAGTATACTGTGTCTGAGTGGGGTATTCATGGTAAACTGCGGCATGGTATCTCAGTGGGCTAGCACTATAAATCGGCATCAGTCCGGACTAGTACAAGCAGCCACACAGACACACACACACGTACATGCACGTCGCTATATAAGTGCAATAATCTTGGACGCGACGTTAAACCCCATTTCACCTCACCTCTAGTGGTAGAGCATCCGCCCGGAGAGCGGAAGGCCCGGGGTTCGAACCCCGGCCGCGTCATACCAAAAGACGTTCGAGAACGCCACTTGTGCTAATCCATGTGTTATTACCAGAGTGCTAAAGGTGAACAAACACCAGCCCCTGCCCCCATCTATAGACGACCCTCCCCAGGGTGGGAACTGACCAGATGCTGGTGACAGTGTCGGATGTAATGGCTGTCTAAATGTTGAGTTAGAGATACTCCGTTTTCTCGTGGATTTGATCGATAACGATCCATTTCCATGACGTCAATGACAGGGGTAATCCACGGGGGGTTGCAAGGGTTTAGAAGCTGGTTCAGCATTTGGTGAGTGAGTGAATATGGTTTTACGACGCTTTTAGGAATATTCCAGTAAGATCCCAGCGGTGGACACAAGAAATGGGCCTCACACATTGCACCCATGTGGGGAATCGAACCCAGGCCTATGGCGAGGCGAGCGAACGCTTTAACCACAAGACTACCTCAACGCCCCTTAAGCACCCACTATCACAGGTATGGTGCTGACAGACACTGAAAACCCTGCCCGTCCTTACGGGTAGAAACACTGATTATCATAAATTACCCTGAAAGTATTATACCACGGTAACAGACCGAGGTATGGTTCTGCAGAACAAGGGTCAGGAATTCGAACCCATAATCCCACAGCTAAAGGATGCGCCAAAGACGACTTTGTATATCAATCACGTCACATAGTACATGCTTTTTTAAAATAGTTGACATTTTTTAAGTATAAATAAATCTCTTGAACTTACTTCTGGCCCGTTTTTCGCAAATAAAGGGGTATATGTACTTGGGAAGCTGTAAAACCGAGCCGGTCCACACTCCCTGCCAGAGGAACTTCTTGGTGTTCCTGTCCTTCACTAACGCCATGGAGGTGTAGGTGCTCGGCATGCCTTTGCCCCAGTTCGTGTACGTCATCTTCTTCGGCTTCGCCTTGTCGCCCTTGTACCACACCATCGACCCGTTGACCGTCTTACCACCGGTTCTCCAGATGAAGACCCTGGGGAACTTCTTGTTGACGAGCTTCTCCAGGAACCGCTCTTCCCCTTTGGTTTCTATGCTTGTCAGATAGGCATTGTCAGTCTGGCACTCCTTATACGCGGCAGAGAACTGGTGTCTGGGCCTGTCGTGAAGCTTGTAGCAGCTTGTCTTGAACTTCGCCCAATTCTTTGGACAAACTGGAAGGAGAGGTCATGAGTGAGTGAGTGAATATGGTTTTACGCGCTATTAGCAATGTTCCAGCAATATCAAGTCGGGGAACACCAGAAATGGGCTTCACATATTGTACCCATGTGGGGAATCGAACACGGGTCTTCGGCGTGTCGAGCCGCTTTGACCACTAGGCTACCCCACCGCCCCGAGAGGTCATGAAGTATGGATGTATAGAGCCTGAAGATGAAAACTAGTTCTGACTATTGGTTAATCAGTATTTCGAGCGATATCAAGAGCTTGGGTTAAGTTTTGGTTGGTTCCAAATCAGCCAATCAGCGTCACGGCTTCTATTTCCTTAACAGGCGTGAGCAACAATTCGTTTGTTTGTTTGTAAGATTGGTAGATCTTGTGGAATGAAAGTGATTATGATTGTTTGTTTGTTTGTTGTTTAACGCCGCACTCCGCAATATTCCAGCTATATGACGGCGGTCTGTAAATAATCGTGTCTGGACCAGACAATCCAGTGATTAATATCATGAGCATCGATCCACACAATTGGGTTAAGTAGTCCAGCAAATGGTCTGTATTTGTATGTAAGGAAATGATCATTCCTAATTCTTGCGTCATACAATGACCTCAGTTTAACGGATCATGCAATAAAATGGCTTTAGGACAAAAAGGTAAAGCAGCCTTGAGTTACACCTTTCCAAATAATGAATTCGTCGAATGAAACAGGCCGCGCATGACGTGCGTGTGTGAAATATAACCTAGACGGATCATTAATATCTACAAATGTTAAAAAATACTGATAAAATCATTAATATCTACAAATGTTAAAAATATACTGATAAAAAAAATAATATCTACAAATGTTGGAAAAATACGGATAAAATAATTAATATCTACAACTGTTAAAAAAATACTGATGAAATCATTGATATCTACAAATGTTTGGAAAAATACTGATAAAAATCATTAATATCTACAAATGTTGGAAAAATACTGATAAAATAATTAATATCTACAAATGTTGGAAAAATACTGATAAAATCATTAAAATCTACAAATGTTGAAAATATCCTGATAAAATCATTAAGATCTACGATTGTTAAAAATACTGATAAAATCATTAAGATCTACAAATGTTGAAGAAATACCGATAAAAGCGTATACCTCACTTTCAAACATTTCAAAATTTATGCCAAAGACCTAAATAACGGTTCTACTTTAACTTCCATGAAACTACAACAATGCATCACGACAAGAAGGGGTCGCTCTGTAACAGGATGTTATTCCAGCTAAGTGAAATATTATTGTAGACATTAATGTTCCATATTCAGTGCAACGTTGCATACACTGATTGATATAGAAAGTTGTTTGTTTCCATTCGTTTTTCTCAGCAAAATTCCCGTGTTCCTATTAGAGTATATAACTAGATTTGTTTAGCAAAAAAGAATGATACATCCATAGAAAGATCAACAAAAAATAGTTGTCAAGGGCAGCTTAATGGATTTGGAGAAAAGAATATTATTTATATCCGTAAATTCACTTTTGTCTCAATTAAGAGTAGAACTTAAGATGTAGGTATGTTTGTTGTTTTACGCCGCATATGATGGCGGACTGTAAATTATCTAGCATGGACCAGGCAATCCAGTGGTTAATATTATGAGCAACGATCCACGTCATCACGTGTACCAAGTCACCGAGTCTGACCACCCACGACAAGCATAGGATTCACTTCTAACCCAGAATTTCCAAGAAGAGAACTTGATAATATCAAGCGTGATACACATTAGAACATATACACACGCATGCGTACTGAGTATCAATGTAGGAAACACGAATGTAACTATGGGTTGGTTGTGCCGATAAAGATTTATAGCCATGACATTTTCAATGATGCCATCTTGAATCTGTTGAAAAGGTCTGCCAGAGAGAAGTAAATAAATACCACACATTTGTATCAATACACGCTCGCATATTAACAAGTTTTCAAATACTGCCGTTTTGTACGACGACTTTAATATTGCTTACGTTGCGATATATGTGAGTACAACACAGTTCAATCTGCTGTGAGCAGGACACTGGTCTAGACGGGCTAATAAACATGTTGCCGTCATGTGGACATCATTACGTCGGCCCTGGCCCTGTATAGGTAATTAGGACAATATCCTGACATATCCCAGGCGTTCATTGTTCAACGTGGAGGAATGCACTGAGAAAATAAATCCGAACAAATATATTTGAATTATTGTTCACGCTTTTTAACACTCGACTATTCACGTGTGTTTTTTAAAAGCTCCGTGTTAGATTTGCCCAGTTTTGTGTACGCGGGAGCAACGGACTAGAAGTCGATGTTGGCTTTGTATCGTCTGCGACCTTTGTCAAAATACTCGGATCTGATTGGTCAGTCTGAGGTTTCAAATCACAGTAACCGTCTCTGATTTGAATAGCCCATTTGACGACCGCATTTCCGCGGAAACTGATATATAAAGCCAGCCGGCTCTTTTTTAGTCATTGTCTGTAGGCATATCGGAATGTTGTCATTAAAACATTTATTTATGCAGAGCTTTGTTAAAGATTCAAGTTAGGGCCTTCAACTCTGAAGGTAATAGCCAGCTCTACCTTGAAAACACTGAATGTTTATCTCCATATTGCCCACATCTCCTCCCCGGCTACAAAATACTCCCATGATAATATATACATACATATATGTAGCTTCTTCAGTAGGTGACCCGTGAAGATCCGATGTAGAACAGGTCTTCAGCAACCCATGCTTGTCGTGAAAAGCGACTATGCTTGTCGTAAGAGGCGACTAACGTAATCGGGTGGTCAGGCTCGCTGACTTGGTTGATGTATGTCATCGATCTCAATTGCGTTGATCGATGCTCATGATATCAATCACTGGATTGTCTGGTCCAGACTCGATTATTTACAGACCGCAGCCATAAAGCTGGAATATTGCTGAATGCGGCGTTAAACAACAAACCAACCAACTTCAGTAGGTCTTAATTAGTCTCTCTATGCATCAGGGGCGGTCGGGTAGCCTAGTGGTTCAAGCGTTCGCTTGTCACGCCGAAGACCCGGGTCCGATTCCCGACATGGGTTCATTGTGTGAAGCCCATTTCTGGTGTCCCCCTGCCGTGATATTGCTGGAATATTGCTAAAAGCGGCGTAAAACCATACTCACTCACTCACTCACTCTATGCATCAACACGACGGCACGGAACGTTGTTATGATATCAACCACTGGTTTGTCTGGGTCAGACTCGATTATTTACAGACCGCTGTGACACAGCTGGAATGTTGCTGATTACGGCATAAAATCTAGGGTCTTCAAATCTGAGGGTAACAGTCAGCTCTACCTTGAAAACACTGAAAGTTTATCACCTCTCCGCTCCGACTACAAAACACTCCCGTTTGTACCACGTGGTAGTAAGGCTGGTCGTACTCAGGACGTACTGCTGCATGTGGTTTCAGTTTTGAATGTTCCATTAGTTCCGGGTTAATAATTCTCCATCTGGGGGAGTTTGTTGAAGCTGGAATATGTGACCCTACTGACCACTGAGGCAGGGACCACGTGACATGTACTGTCAGTGATACAGGACACTTTCCCGAAGCATGAGGTTATGCACGCAGCAAATACCCCAGGTAGTTCCGCAGCAAATACCCCAGGTAGTCCCGCACCAAATACCCCAGGTAGTTCTGCAGCAAATACCCTAGGTAGTTCCGCAGCAAATACTCCAGGTTGTTCGCAGCAAATACCCCAGGTAGTTCCGCAGCAAATACTCCAGGTAGTTCCGCAGCAAATACCCCAGGTATTTCCGCAGCAAATACTCCAGGTTGTTCCGCACCAAATACCCCAGGTAGTTCCTGCTGAATATATACTCCAGCGGTACAAGACGGCAATCTGATGATGCATAAAGACAGGACCGCCTCCGTGGTCTAGTGGTAGAGAGTCTGCCCGGAGAGCGGAACGTCTGGAGTTCGATCCCCGGCCGCGTCATACCAAAAGAGACGTTAAAAGACGGTACTTGTTGTTACCCAGTCTGGCGCTCGGCATTAAGGGATAAAATCCTGAGGATAAAACAAGGACTGGTCAGCTCCGAGTCAGAATACTGTGTCTGAGTGGGGTATCCATGTTAAACTGATTTATGGTATCTCAGTGAGCTAGAACTATATCGCATCAATCCGGACGAGTACTTATAACATCCCAGTGATACTCACACGTGACAGCGCTGTCCTCCTTGTCGTTACAGTGGTACATGGCCCTCAGCTGTGCTATGTCGATGGTACTCAGGCCTCGTCTCTGACCAATCTTCAGGTTCATCTTCTTCCCGATACCTATCACCTGCAGCAGGAAAGATTCTTGTTGTGATGCACGCTTACAGTTATAGGTAGTTCCTGGGTGTAAGACCTCACCGTGGAACGTCTGACTCCGTGTATGGCGAATGAAGAACTTGGTTTTATTTAATTAATGATGGAATAGAACGTAACAAACTCATCTGACTTACCCCAGTGCTAGACCCATCAGGGTTTATATTTCGATAGCAGGGTTGATTACTTTCGTTGTCTTTAAAGGCCCATCATGATTGATTACTTTAGTTGCGTTTAAAGGCGCATCAGGATAGATACTTCAGTAACAGGCCCTCCAGGGTTGATTACTTTAGTAATGTTTAAACGCCCATCAGGGTTGATACTTCAGTAACAGGCCCTCCAGGATTGATTACTTTAGTTGCGTTTAAAGGACCATCAGGATAGATACTTCTGTAACAGGCCCTCCAGGGTTGATTACTTTAGTTACGTTTAAAGGACCATCAGGATAGATATTTCTGTAACAGGCCCTCCTGGGTTGATTACTTTAGTTGCGTTTAAAGGACCATCAGGATAGGTACTCTTGTAACAGGCCCTCCAGGGTTGATTACTTTAGTTACGTTTAAACGCCCATCAGGGTTGATACTTCAGTAACAGGCCCCCGAGAGCTGACTACTTTAGTTACGTTTAAAGGCGCAATAGGATTGATATTTCAGTAGCAGGCCCTCCATAGTTGATTACTTTAGTTATGTTTAAAGAAGCATCAGGATAGATATTTCAGTAACAGTTTCTTCAGGGTTGATTACTATAATTACGTCTAAAGGCCAATCAGGATAGATACTTCAGTAACAGGCCCTTAAGGGTTGATTACTTTAGCTACGTCCAAATGCCAATCAGGATAGATACTCTATTAACAGGCCCTCCAGGGTTGATTAGTTTAGTTATGTTTAAAGGCCCATCAGGATAGATACTTTATTAACAGACCTCCTAGTGTTGAGTACTTTAGTTACGTTTAAAGGTGCATCAGGATAGATATTTTAGTAACAGAACTTTCAGGGTTGATTACTTTAGTTATAGATATTTCAGAAACAGAACCTTCAGGGTTGATTACTTTAGTTACGTCTAAAGGCCAATCAGGACAGATATTTCAGTAACAGGCCCCCCAGGGTTTATTACTTTAGATACGTGTACAGGCCCACCAGGATGGATGTAGCTCCAGTAACATGCCCTTCAGTATATTCTGTTTACACATACAGTGTATCATTGTTGACTTGATGACATACCTTGATTGTGGGTTCCCCCATCCGCGTGAAGGCCCACTTGTTATAATGCATGATGCTGGAGTAGTCGTAAGGAAAGCCTCTTGACGTTGCCAGCCTCTTGCTGAGCTTTTTAAAATCAGGAAGGAACTTGGGGGAGATATTTTCCTCCACAACTTTGATGTATTCGTCTCGGTCGGGTCGTGCCTTAATCCAAGACAAACATGCAATTAAAACTACATGTATATGGTTGATTTGTAAGATAATTGTACACGCCTTGACAAATGGCTATATATTCTGTAATTCTCACTCGCTTTTCTCTTCTTAATATTAATGTAATTTGGTGTTTACCCGTAGTGATATTTGAAAGTAAGTTGGATGTAGTAACAGATTTCTAATACCTGTTCGTGCCAGACGCCCAAAGCATGACTAGTTTCGTGGATAGCAGTGCCGACATTTTCACAGCCTCTCCCAATGCTGATAAGTTGTGCTCCGCCTCTTTTCCCAACGTTTGACCAGCAACTGCGGATATGAGAGCGAGGAACATATACACGCCGAAGTACATGCTTATCAATGAAATGTGTCGTATCATTGTTACAAAGATTCTTTTTTTTGTAACATGACCGAGCGAATGAGTGGGATAGCTTAGTCTTTACGCCGCTTTGAACATAGATAGATAGATAGATAGCTAGATAGATAGATAGATTGATAGATAGATAGATGTTTCAACAATATGCCTAATGAACGTATAACAGCAGAGTTGTTGGATTTTATAAGACTGATCATTAACATCTTGTTTTTATGCCTATTGTTAAAAATCGGAATATATTTTTCTTTAAGATGTTCATACTTATCACTTACTAATTCATCCTCATTCATACTCAATTTATCCTTATTGACAGTTTTTACAGATACCCATTTCAACGTCCCTTTTTTCACATCTACGTCTAAATGTTACACTGAAATTATGAAATGACACTCATGAAATTACATAATGCCCTAACAAGCGATTTATCATCTAACATACTTATATACTTCTCTGGTTCTATAGCAGACTTGATATCCTTGTAATGGTTAAGGAAACGAGAAGAAGATATACTATCGTGCCAGTTTTGACTTTACATATCCTGTAACCTTTGTTTAAAAGAGTATAAGAACAAATTTGTATCCCTTACATCTTGGGATATCCACACAAAGGAATAGCCACATGAAAATAATAAATATCTGACATGGGACACCCAATTCGTTTTGCTTTTGTCATCAAGAGCTTTCAGTAGTTTATAACATAGGTAGGGATATCTTTGCGGCTCCATTCTCAGTAATTTTAACCAATATTTTGTCATTCGAAGTTGACTACATGAATGGGATTACGTCCTGTTTCACCTAAAATAGCTGATGTGAGAGTAAAGTGATACAGGTTATATTTGGTGAAACCCACAAGGTATGTTGCTGATAAACCCAGAGACATTATCAGTGCCACTGGGATTCGAACCAGCCATCAAAGGTTGATGTCATGGCAAAGGGACGCAACTTAGCCCACTGGGCTACCCATGCCTCCTTTAACAGCCTTACTGGACCATTGGTTTGTCTGTCTCAGTATCAGGACACACATGACTCCGTGGGATGCTGCAATACTGCTGACTAGACTTAAAACCAAGTTTACTCAAGACATGTATCAACATTCCGCAAGTCTCTTTATTCCTACGCCGTAACCACTCTCGAAATGTTTATGTAATATTATCGTATGGGACCGCCCTAAGCCTTTATTGACTGCTTGTGTGGCTTCTGTAGAAACACTCTCGACGTCAATACGTTATGCATCCAAACAAAAGCACACACCACGCTGATATGAAGTCTACAAGCTACAAGGTAAACAACATAACACGACAACGAGACAAACTTGACTATACTTATTTTCATTATTTTTTGTTTTGTTTTCGAACTGTGGCACATTTTAAAGGTTGGAACACGGAACAGTATGGTACATGAGGTGAACGTGGAATTCATTAGAAAGTTCAAAGTCTGCGTGTTTCTGTAAAAGGCAGGAGAGCAGGGCCTTTCGTCTTGGCGCTTACTGTGCTAATCGTCAGATATTTGGTGTCGAGAGCCTCTGTGTCAAACAGTGCTACGAAACGTCCTCGCGGCGAGTGACTGAGTTGGGTTTAACGCTGCTTTAAACAGTATAATATGGGAGGAAAGCCCGAAGTAATGCAGGTCTGAGACGCTTACCACTTCGATAAAACCCACAAGCCTGGGTATGGTGCTGACAAACCTGTGATTGTGGGTTCGAATCCCTGTTCGCCCCGATCATGTTCCTAGGTTTGTCAGCACCATACCCGTGGCCGTGAGTTTCACCAAAGTGGTAAACGTCTGAAACCTGCATCACTTCGGGCTTTCCTCCCACATTAAGCTGACACGCCGTGATGTAACTGTAATACTGTTAAAAGCGGCGTTAAACCCAACTCACTCACTTACTCCCTTCCGGGACGTATTCCTCAACTTGCTTCATATGCTAGGGAAGAGTGAGTGAGTATGGTTTTACGCCGCTTTTAGCAATATTCCAGCAATATCACGGCAGGCGGGGGACACCAGAAATGGGCTTCACACAATGTACCCATGTCGGGAATCGAACCCGGGTCTTCAGCGTGACGAGCGAACGCTTTAACCACTAGGCTACCCGACCGTCCCGCTGGGGAAGAGGTCCTAGGGACCACTGGGGGAGAATAGCCTCACATCGTCACATGTGTGTCAGAGGACTATAAGGCTCAGGTGGTCAGGCTCAGTAACTTGTAGATTGCTCCCTATTCACAGGTCGCCTTAAAACGGAATGAATAGAGATATTGTAGTTTTTTTGTTTTGTTTGTTGTTTAATGCACTCAGCAATATTCCAGCTGTATGACGGCGGTCTGTAATAATCGAGTATGGACCAGACAATACAGTGATTGACATAATGAGCATCGACCCACGCAAATGGGATACGATGACATGCATCAACCAAGTCAGCGAGTCTGACCACCCGATCCCGTTAGTCGCCTCTTACGACAAGCATTGTCGCTTTTTATGGCAAGCGTGGGTTGCTGATGAGCTAATCTACCCCGGATCTTCTCGGGTCTAGCTGTTGTAGTACCGATATCAGATCATTGTAAGGATTCTGCCAGGACTACAAGGTTGTACCATCGTTCACAATATGTCCACATTTATATCAGCGCACCTGGGTATGTGGGTACAGTTTTGCGCCACTTTTGGCAATATTCTGGCAATATCAGGTCGGGAACATCAGGAATTATGCCACAGTGTACATGTACCCATTGAGGGAATCGCACCCAAACTGGCTGTTGTAGTGGACCGTTTCAGAAAATATTCATCTTCCGAAAGTCCCACAAATTACTTGCTGTGAATCTCAACGACTATAGACATGCGACGGCCGATTTCACGTAGGCTGTGATTGGGCGACAATAAACATAGAATAACCTATCATAATGAATGTCGATGTCTCGTAGGCTGTGATTGGACGATAATAGATATTGAATAACCTATCATAATGAATGTCGATGTCTCGTAGGCTGTGATTGGACGACAATAGATATTGAATAACCTATCATAATGAATGCCGATTTCTCGTAGGCTTTGATTGGACGGCAATTAATATAGAATAACCTGTCATAATGAAAACTAATAATGACTGCGTGAAGGTTGTGAAGTGTAATGTATGAAGTATAGTCCTGCCACCACAATTAACATCAGCAGACCAGCTTGATAGACTTTTACAGCCCCAAACAAAATTTCATGGTGTTCTTTTTCAATTGCATTCAAGGACGGTCCGCGTGCCTCCCAATAGCCCGACACCGTACAGATGAACCACATTTTTTGGCCGTCGCTTGTTTCTGCGCGAACCCACAGTGGAACCAGTTTAACAATGACCGTCCGTTTACATACTGGCCCCCGTCTCTTCATATCACAATATTAAGTTGACGACGCGCCGGTCACCAGTTTATGTGTTTCATTCATCCTGAACAGCTCAGCTGAGAAGAGCCTTCAAAGTAACATACTTAAGATACTGATGACATACAGACTCCCATGCCATGCCTACAATTGTTATAAGCACGGCGCTAGTTTGGCAGTCTATTTCAACAGATGTGTGGCATTCTTTCGTTTCGCTCTTATTCCTGTTCCTGTTTTTCCAGGTGTAAGTTGGTTTCCAAATTGGAGCAAAGATATTTCCTTTCTATCAACATCCGTGTATTTGTATTGTCATCAAGTTTCAGCTGTTTTCAGCTTGTATCGCCTGTATAGTTATCTGCCACTCAGGGCACAGTTTAACGAGAAACATGTTGACATGCATTTGACAAAGTTTATGAATGACAAGAAAGAAAGATTTAAAATGTAAAAAGAAACAACTGACAATATTAAAAATAGAACATGCTGTACACAAAAATACAAACCGCTTGTTTGAATCTGGGTTCAATTCCTTGAATCGCTTAGAAAAAAAGTAAGCCGGCCCGGGAAATCAGGGGAAATGGAGAAATGTTTCACACTTTTTTTTAGAGAACAACGTAAATGACTTGAGGAAAGAACTGAGACGAGATTGATTTTGTAAACTTATTGAATAGTAACAGAATGAAAGCACACATATTGTGGAAAACAAATGTGCCCCAAATTACAAACGAAATTATCTGTAATAGCGAACTGCCAATAAACTGGTTGGGCCGTTACGGGTGAGGGAGTTCAGGTTTTTCGCAATATTGCGGTCTTATCACGGCGACAGGACATATGGTTCTCAGTGGGGAATCGAACCCGGGACTACCCCACCACCCTGTCCCTTATGGCCCCCAATAGTGCATTTGTTGTATAACGCCACACTCAGCAATATTCCAGCTATATAACGGCGGTCTGTAAATAATCGAGTCTAGACCAGATAGTCCAGCGATTGACATCATGAAGATCGAACCACGCAATTGGGATACGATGACATGCATCAACCAAGTCAGCAAGCCTGACCACCCGATCCCGTGAGTCGCCTCTTACGACAAGCAGAGTCGCCTTTTTCGACATTTATCGTTGAAATGAGAAGTGAGTATATCAGTCGTAGACATACCCAGGTTCACTGATGTAACGCACGTAATCCTTGTCTTTAGCTGTCTTTTTCTTAAACTTGATGCACGTGTTCAACTCAATCTGTTTGATGGCACGCTCGATCACGTTCTTGGAGGCGGCACCTGGAAGCAGAATGACCGGGAATAGCATGAATGAATGAATAGTGTTTTACGCTGCATCAGCAATTTTCTAGCTATTCGCGACATCAGGAATAGCAAGTACCGTACATACCATGAGTTAAGTATACAGGTATATACAGCTTAACATACACTTCGAAGACAATAAACACCGCAAACTATATACACTGCCGGACAAAGTATGCATTTATGTTTGATGGCAGCTCAATATGAAACAAATAAGAAATGGTTATTCGATGGTGATGTATTTGATACGTGTTTGTAAATATTGTTTTTGTCAAATCCAAAGTATATAATTTGTTTTGCCCGGCAATTAAGTTCCTTATGAAATAGCCATTTTGAAAACATCGTATTCTGTTTACAAAGTGACTTACTGATTCTCATATACAGAAACCTAAGATACTAACGACATGTTTAAACTATTCCATGACAATATCTATAGGTGAGGTGAGGTGAGGTGAGGTGAGGTGAGGTGAGGTGAGGTGAGGTGAGGTGAGGTGAAATGGGCTTTAATGCCGCTTCCAAGATTATTGCACTTGCGTGCGTGCGCGGGTGTGTGTGTGTGTACTAGTCCGGACTGATGCCGATTTAAAGTGCTAAAGTACTTTTTTAGTCCACTGAGATACCATGCTGCAGTATAACATCAATACCCCACTCAGACACAGTATACTGACCCTGAGCGACCAGACCTTGTTTTAGCCCCTTAATGCTGAGCGCCAGACAGGGTAACAACAAGTACTATTTTTAACGTACTATGACACGGTCGAGGATCGAATCCCGGACCTTCCGCTCTCCGGACGGACGCTCTACCATAAGACCACGGAGGAGGTCGGCAATATTGATAGGACTTCCCCCTCAGTTCCTTATCTCGTTCTTGCCATCAACATGAGATCAGTGTCGCATGTACATACATGTACACTGCCGAGCGACAGAAAGTATACACTTAACATTCCCACTTCACTCTGGGTATTACTGTGTTCTGTAAAATTTCGACCCCCCATGTTCCTTGAGAGGTCACTCATACTCATTGATATGACGTCATGTGCACGTCATCTGGTGTGAGATACTCATTGATATGACGTCACGTGCACGTCATCTGGTGTGAGATACTCATTGATATGACGTCACGTGCACGTCATCTGGTGTGAGATACTCATTGATATGATGTATGTAATATCTCCTATGATCCCCGTATGAAATACGTCACCATCGAATAACTAGTTTGTGTTTGTTTCATTTTTAGCCACCATCAAACATGGATGTATACTTTCGTTTGACCGATATTTTATTTCCAAAATATGTATGGGCGTTCGAAATATATGAAAATACAGAAAGGATGTTGATTAACGCTTTTTAAGGTGAAAATATAGATTTCCATTGCTAAGTGAATAATTCCGATAACTCTTGGACCCGCATCGCTCACGTCTGGATCCCTGGATGGAATGGGTCTCAGTATCCCGCACATGCCTCAAGAGTCGCGAGGGGCGGTCGGGTAGCCTAGTGGTTAAAGCGTTCGCTCGTCACGCCGAAAGCCCGGGTTCGATTCCCCACATGGGAACAATGTGTGAAGCCCATTTCTGGTGTCCCCTGCCGTGATATTGCTGGAATATTGCTAAAAGCGGCGTAAAACCATACTCAAACACTCACAAGACGTAGTTCATTATTCCTTTAAGTGGAATAACAGATCTGATTACTTTATGTTAACAGCTACTTTTCAGTTGCCTGACGGCGTGTACCACATACACATGAAGCAGCTTCTGAATTGTATCATAACAAGGTTTCCGCTTCTTCTTTCCAACTTTTCGCTCCCATATATTAGGGTACTCTCAGCGATAAATTAACACGGGTAATCTTATCCTAACAGCACGGTGGCCCAGTGACCACAAGGCGCAATTTCGTATTCACATCCCTTTCCTGTGCCAGGATCCGCTGGTCCTGAGTTCGAGTCCGAGATTTTCCTCGATAATGATCCTGTCAGCACAATACCCGTGGTGCAATATTGGTGAACGTCTGCTACCAACGTTACGTTCATGTGGTTGACACGCCGTGCTTAACTGAAATGCTGTTCAAAGCGTCGTTAAACCAAACTCACTCACTAACTTCGGAGCTTTAACATTGGACACAGTCAGGCTAGGCTATGGGACAAGGTCAGCCCTGAAGTGGGCGGTGGGATAGCCTAGTGGTTATAGCGTTCGCACGTTACGCTGAAGACCCGGGTTTGAATCCCAACATGGGTACAATGCGCCCATATCTGGTGTCCCCCGGTGTGATATTGCTAGAATATTGCTAAAAGCGGCGTAAAACCAAACTCATTCATTCAGCCCCGAAGTGTCGGCAAAGACATCGATACAGCTTGTCTCAGATTTCTCTGACACCGCCTAAACCTGTCACTGACTGACGACTCCACACAGCGAAATGTTTCTTCACACTTCCTGTCTTTTTATTCCCATCACATTTAGATCGAGTTACGCATTGATGTGTCTAAATGGAATGTTTACTTGAAGCTATGGTTTTACATTCTCTTAAATGTTGAGCAACATGGTCGGCATGGTAAGGGAAATAATAGTATCTGAAGCCAATAAACAATTCATCTGGTTGATATGAAGGCGGCCGCCAGTTGGCATAAATACACCCGGTTGAACAAACCTTGACCGATTTAATTCATAGCGCGGATCGGAATCTCAAGTAAATGTAAGTTTTTGTTTTGTTACAGACCTCATACTTGGGATAGACCCAGTGCTTTGTTTGATGAAACTTTCAGAACGTGTATACTGATACTTCAAGCATCCAAACACATTCCCAGGTTTGTTTGTTGTTCAACGCCGCACTCAGCAATATTCCAGTTATATGACTGGGGTCTGTAAATAATGCGGTCATGACCAGACAAGCATAGTCGCCTGTTAGGGCAAGCATGGGTTGCTGAAGACCTTTTCTACCCCGGATCTTTACGGGTAAGGAAAGAAAGCATGACGTTTATAGTCCTGGTGTGTCACCGTATACGTCTTTGTCTAAGACCTGCAACGTGTTGGGCTAGCCTTCTACATCAAGCTGACACGCCGTTACAAAAGTGAAATAACGGCTTTAAAACCAAACTCGCTTCTTCTCTTACTCACTTATTCCTTCATCCATTTTGTAGGGGATGATGGCATCCTTCCACAGCTTGTTCCGTAACCTCATTGTGGCGCGTTTCCTCCGTCTCCGGGAGTCGGGGTAGATGAAGTTCTCGTCATCCTTCTTCAGGACGATGTCCCCCTGGTAGAACGGAGTGCCCGCTGAGGACAGAGGACATTGGGTAACGTAAAGTGGTTGTCGTGAGAGGACAATTGAAATAGTGGACACAAGAAGGCAACTGAGATGTTTGACATAAGAGAGTATTTGAAAAACATTTGTATTGTTATCATGAAAGAAGTGAGGTAGTTGGCATAATTGGACACTTGAGAGAGTTGACAAATGAGGTCAATTGAGATGGTACAGAAATAGGACAATTCAGATGGTTTACAGTATGAGGTGGTTTACAAAACCAGATGGGGTCCTCAGAGGACAGCTGAGCTTGTTGACATCAGAGAGCAACTGAGATGGTCGTTAGACGAGGGCAGTCGAGATGGTTTCGAAGCGGGCACATGTAAAATGGTTGATATATAACAAGACAATTGTTGATATCAGAGGACAATTGAGATTGATGACATCAGATGACATCAGAGGACAATTGGGATTGATGACATCAGAGGGCAATTCATAATTGAATGACATCTGAGGACATTTGAGATTGATGACATCAGAGGACATCAGAGGACAATTGAGATTGATGACATCAGAGAGCAATTGAGATTGATGACATCAGAGGACATCAGAGGACAATTGAGATTGATGACATCAGAGGGCAATTAAGATTGATGACATCAGAGGACAATTGAGATTGATGACATCAGAGGACATCAGGAGGCAATTGAGATTGATGACATCAGAGGACAATTGAGATTGATGACATCAGATGACATCAGAGGACAATTGAGATTGGTGACATCAGTGGGCAATTGATAATTGAATGACATCTGAGGACAATTGAGATTGATGACATCAGAGGACATCAGAGGACAATTGAGATTGATGACATCACAGGACATCAGAGGGCAATTGAGATGGATGACATCACAGGACATCAGAGGGCAATTGAGATTGATGACATCACAGGACAATTGAGATTGATGACATCACATGACATCAGAGCGCAATTGAGATTGATGACATCAGAGGACAATTGAGATTGATGACATCACAGGACATTTGAGATTGATGACATCAGATGACATCAGAGCGCAATTGAGATTGATGACATCAGAGGACAATTGAGATTGATGACATCACAGGACATCAGAGGGCAATTGAGATGGATGACATCACAGGACATTTGAGATTGATGACATCAGATGACATCAGAGCGCAATTGAGATTGATGACATCAGAGGACAATTGAGATTGATGACATCAGAGGACAATTGAGATTGATGACATCATATGACATCTGAGGACAATTGAGATTGATGACATCAGAGGACATCAGAGGGCAAAAGAGATTGATGAGCTCCGAGGACATCAGAAGGCAATTGAGATTGATAACATCATATGACATCTGAGGACAATTGAGATTGATGACATCAGAGGACATCAGAGGGCAATTAAGATTGATGACATCACAGGACATCAGAGCGTAATTGAGATTGATGAGCTCCGAGGACATCAGAAGGTAATTGAGATTGATGACATCAGAGGGCAATTGAGATTGATGACAGAGGACAATTGAGATTGATGACATCAGATGACATCAGAGGGCAATTGAGATTGATGACATCAGAGGGCAATTGAGTTTGATGACATCAGAGGGCAATTGAGATTGATGACATCAGATGACAATTGAGATTGATGACATCATATGACATCTGAGGACAATTGAGATTGAGGACATCAGAGGGCAATTAAGATTGATGAGCTCCGAGGACATCAGAAGGCAATTGAGATTGATGACATCAGAGGACAATTGAATTGATGACATCAGAGGACAATTGAGATTGATGTCATCAAAGGACATCAGAGGGCAATTGAGATTGATGACATCAGATGACAATTGAGATTGATGACATCAGAGAGCAATTGAGATTGATGACATCAGACGACAATTGAGATTGGTAACATCAGAGGACAATTGAGATTGATGACATCAGATGACAATTGAGATTGATGACATCAGAGGGCAATTGAGATTGATGACATCAGAGGACAATTGAGATTGGTAACATCAGAGGACAACTGAGATTGATGACATCAGATGACATCAGAGCGCAATTGAGATTGATGACATCAGAGGACATCAGAGGACAATTGAGATTGATGACATCACAGGACATCAGAGGGCAATTGAGATGGATGACATCACAGGACATCAGAGGGCAATTGAGATTGAAGACATCACAGGACAATTGAGATTGATGACATCAGATGACATCAGAGCGCAATTGAGATTGATGACATCAGAGGACAATTGAGATTGATGACATCACAGGACATTTGAGATTGATGACATCAGATGACATCAGAGCGCAATCGAGATTGATGACATCAGAGGACAATTGAGATTGATGACATCACAGGACATTTGAGATTGATGAAATCAGATGACATCAGAGCGCAATTGAGATTGATGACATCAGAGGACAATTGAGATTGATGACATCAGATGGCATCAGAGCGCAATTGAGATTGATGACATCAGAGGGCAATTGAGATTGATGACATCACAGGACATTTGAGATTGATGACATCAGATGACATCAGAGCGCAATTGAGATTGATGACATCAGAGGACAATTGAGATTGATGACATCAGAGGACAATTGAGATTGATGACATCATATGACATCTGAGGACAATTGAGATTGATGACATCAGAGGACATCAGAGGGCAAAAGAGATTGATGAGCTCCGAGGACATCAGAAGGCAATTGAGATTGATGACATCATATGACATCTGAGGACAATTGAGATTGATGACATCACAGGACATAAGAGGACAATTCAGATTGATGACATCACAGGACATCAGAGGGCAATTAAGATTGATGACATCGCAGGACATCAGAGGGCAATTGAGATTGATGACATCAGAGGACAATTGAGATCGATGACATCACAGGACATCAGAGGGTAATTGAGATTGATGAGCTCCGAGGACATCAGAAGGTAATTGAGATTGATGACATCAGAGGGCAATTGAGATTGATGACAGAGGACAATTGAGATTGATGACATCAGATGACATTAGAGGGCAATTGAGATTGAAGACATCAGAGGGCAATTGAGTTTGATGACATCAGAGGGCAATTGAGATTGATGACATCAGATGACAATTGAGATTGATGACATCATATGACATCTGAGGACAATTGAGATTGAGGACATCAGAGGGCAATTAAGATTGATGAGCTCCGAGGACATCAAAAGGCAATTGAGATTGATGACATCAGAGGACAATTGAATTGATGACATCAGAGGACAATTGAGATTGATGTCATTAAAGGACATCAGAGGGCAATTGAGATTGATGACATCACAGGACATCAGATGGCAATTGAGATTGATGACATCAGATGACAATTGAGATTGATGACATCAGAGGGCAATTGAGATTGATGACATCAGAGGACAATTGAGATTGGTAACATCAGAGGACAATTGAGATTGATGACATCAGAGGACAATTGAGATTGATGACATCAGATGACATCAGAGGGCAATTGAGATTGATGACATCAGAGGGCAATTGAGTTTGATGACATCAGAGGGCAATTGAGATTGATGACATCAGATGACAATTGAGATTGATGACATCATATGACATCTGAGGACAATTGAGATTGAGGACATCAGAGGGCAATTAAGATTGATGAGCTCCGAGGACATCAGAAGGCAATTGAGATTGATGACATCAGAGGACAATTGAATTGATGACATCAGAGGACAATTGAGATTGATGTCATCAAAGGACATCAGAGGGCAATTAAGATTGATGAACTCCGAGGACATCAGAAGGCAATTGAGATTGATGACATCAGATGACAATTGAGATTGATGACATCAGATGACAATTGAGATTGATGACATCAGAGGGCAATTGAGATTGATGACATCAGAGGACATTTGAGATTGGTAACATCAGAGGACAATTGAGATTGATGACATCAGATGACAATTGAGATTGATGACATCAGAGGGCAATTGAGATTGATGACATCAGAGGACAATTGAGATTGGTAACATCAGAGGACAATTGAGATTGATGACATCAGAGGGCAATTGAGATTGATGACATCAGAGGACAATTGAGATTGATGACATCACAGGACATCAGAGGGCAACTGAGATTGATGACATCAGAGGGCAATTGAGATTGATGACATCAGATGACAATTGAGATTGATGACATCAGAGGGCAATTGAGATTGATGACATCAGAGGATAATTGAGATTTGTGACATCAGAGGAGAATTGAGATTAATGACATCAGACGACAATTGAGATTGATGACATCATATGACATCTGAGGACAATTGAGATTGATGACATCAGAGGCCATCAGAGGGCAATTGAGATTGATGAGCTCCGAGGACATCAGAAGGTAATTGAGATTGATGACATCAGAGGGCAATTGAGATTGATGACAGAGGACAATTGAGATTGATGACATCAGATGACATCAGAGGGCAATTGAGATTGATGACATCAGAGGGCAATTGAGTTTGATGACATCAGAGGACAATTGAGATTGATGACATCATATGACAGCAGAGGACAATTGAGATTAATGAAATCAGAGGACATCAGAGGGCAATTGAGATTGATGAGCTCCGAGGACATCAGAAGGCAATTGAGATTGATGACATCAGAGGACAATTGAGATTGATGACAGAGGACAATTGAGATTGATGACATCAGATGACATCAGAGGGCAATTGAGATTGATGACATCACAGGACATAAGAGGACAATTCAGATTGATGACATCACAGGACATCAGAGGGCAATTAAGATTGATGACATCGCAGGACATCAGAGGGCAATTGAGATTGATGACATCAGAGGACAATTGAGATCGATGACATCACAGGACATCAGAGGGCAATTGAGATTGATGACATCAGATGACATCAGAGGACAATTGAGATTGATGACATCAAAGGGCAATTAAGATTGTTGACATCAGAGGATAATCGAGATTGTTGACATCAGAAGGCAGTTGAGATGGTTGATGCAATAGGACAGTCGAGGACAAGATGATGTTAGAGGACACTTGAGATGATTGATACAAGAGGACACTTGAAAGAGTTGACTCAGGAGGAAAATTGAGATGGTTCGCATCAGAGGACAACTGAGATGGTTCAGATCAGAGGACAATTGAGATGGTTCAGATCAGAGGACAACTGAGATGGTTTACATCAGAGGACAATTGAGATGATTCAGATCAGAGGACAACTGAGATGGTTCAGATCAGAGGACAACTGAGATGGTTTACATCAGAGGACAATTGAGATGATTCAGATCAGAGGACAATTGAGATGGTTCAGATCAGAGGACAACTGAGATGGTTCAGATCAGAGGACAATTGAGATGGTTCAGATCAGAGGACAATTGAGATGGTTCACATCAGAGGACAATTGAGATGGTTCACATCAGAGGACAACTGAGACGGTTCACATCAGAGGACAATTGAGATGGTTCACATCAGGGGACAATTGAGATGGTTCACATCAGAGGACAACTGAGATGGTTCAGATCAGAGGACAACTGAGATGGTTTACATCAGAGGACAACTGAGATGGTTCAGATCAGAGGACAATTGAGGTGGTTCAGATTAGAGGACAACTGAGATGGTTCAGATCAGAGGACAACTGAGATGGTTCAGATCAGAGGACAATTGAGATGGTTCACATCAGAGGACAATTGAGATGGTTTACATCAGAGGACAACTGAGATGGTTCACATCAGAGGACAATTGAGATGGTTCAGATCAGAGGACAACTGAGATGGTTCAGATCAGTCGACAATTGAGATGGTTCACATCAGAGGACAATTGAGATGGTTTACATCAGAGGACAACTGAGACGGTTCACATCAGAGGACAATTGAGATGGTTCACATCAGGGGACAACTGAGATGGTTCACATCAGAGGACAACTGAGATGGTTCAGATCAGAGGACAACTGAGATGGTTTACATCAGAGGACAACTGAGATGGTTCAGATCAGAGGACAATTGAGATGGTTCAGATCAGAGGACAACTGAGATGGTTTACATCAGAGGACAACTGAGATGGTTTACATCAGAGGACAACTGAGATGGTTCAGACCAGAGGACAATTGAGATGGTTCAGATCAGAGGACAACTGAGATGGTTCAGATCAGAGGACAACTGAGATGGTTTACATCAGAGGACAACTGAGATGGTTCAGATCAGAGGACAACTGAGATGGTTCAGATCAGAGGACAATTGAGATGGTTCACATCAGAGGACAACTGAGATGGTTTACATCAGAGGACAACTGAGATGGTTCAGATCAGAGGACAATTGAGATGGTTCAGATCAGAGGACAATTGAGATGGTTCAGATCAGAGGACAATTGAGATGGTTCACATCAGAGGACAACTGAGATGGTTTACATCAGAGGACAACTGAGATGGTTCAGATCAGAGGACAATTGAGATGGTTCAGATCAGAGGACAACTGAGATGGTTCAGATCAGAGGACAATTGAGATGGTTTACATCAGAGGACAACTGAGATGGTTTACATCAGAGGACAACTGAGATGGTTCAGATCAGAGGACAATTGAGATGGTTCAGATCAGAGGACAACTGAGATGGTTTACATCAGAGGACAACTGAGATGGTTCAGATCAGAGGACAATTGAGATGATTCAGATCAGAGGACAATTGAGATGGTTCAGATCAGAGGACAACTGAGATGGCTTACATCAGAGGACAACTGAGATGGTTCGCATCAGAGGACAATTGAGATGGTTCACATCAGAGGACAATTGAGATAGTTCAGATTAGAGGACAATTGAGATAGTTTAAATCATAGGACAATTGAGATGCATTACATAAAGGAAATCGTAACTTACCTTGATTCAAATAATAAATATGAAAAAAACCCTGTATTAAACGTGTATGTGGCTTCTTCCTTACTCCAGTATCAATGGAAATAAGTCAGAACGTGAAGCGAAGGAAACGGAACCACGCCTACCTGTGCCCCTCGGCCTTTGGGACTGCGCCTCTCCCCCATCTGCCCGGGGGTCGGAAAACGTGCACAAAGACGGTGGACAGACCCCTGCAACAAAGACACGTCGACTGGTATTGTTTGTTTGTTGTTAATATTCCAGTTATATGACGTAGGTCTGTAAATAATCAAGTCTGGACCAGACAATCCAATGATTGACACCATGCGCATCGATCTACGCTATTGGGATACGATGACATGCATCAACCAAGAGCTTTTATGTAAAGGTGTCTGAGTTTATATAACATTCTGAAAACCTTCTTTTCTATTTGCAACGGTTTCCTGAAACGTCTATCGGATTTATGCGTAACTGAAAAATGGCTTTGTGGGTAAGCGTATAGAAGTATGCATGCCAAGTCACATTTGGTCTAGTAGTTTCGATAGTTTGTTAGTTGTTGAGTTTTAGTTATATTAAGACCCTGAAATGCATGACATTTGCCATAAAGTTTACTGCAATAACTGGAGAGAGTTGTCATGACTGAATGTGTCCTTTCATGGACAACGTTGACAGATAGTGTAGTACTACTACGCATTCTAATTATATACAAACAACAGAGTAAGACAATTTTAGCATTCAAACCCTTTGGAAATGCCCAAGTATCCTTTTCTTATCGTTATGGATGGGTTGGTCAGCTTCGGTGAATAGGTTGTTTGCGTGCCATTGTACCTCCACGACGTGGATCGATGCTTATAGTGTCAATTTCTAGTTTTCCTGGTCAAGTCTCGATTATTTACTCAAGGAAGACACGTAGCTGAATACAAATTAGATGTTGGATACAGCTTTGGATTAGTTGGTATTTTACTGAAGAAATTGTGTTGAATTAACATAGTCCCTTACATGTTAGTGAGACGGCGAGACGAGCGAACGCTTTAACCACAAGGCTACCCGACCGCCCCTAGTTTCTTACAGGTTTAATAAGCCCGAATATATGTACGTCACCCATTTTTGTTGTTTAAAACCCCTAATACGTATTACCTTAATTTTCCATTAACAATTTTTGTAAGTTTTTAATGCTGATATCTATACAACAGCGTCCATTTAGTGTACTGTATTTAAGAGTGAGAGTTCCCTTTTAGAGATTTCGAAATTAATCATTTGAATATGTTCATTAAATATTTTGGGGAAATTATTCTATTGTAAATGAAAATTTGACGAACAAAGAGTTTGCCGCCGTGTTGATGCATCGCATCAAATGTTTTCTTGTTTATATTAGTGGTGTGTGACGACTGCAGCGTATTCTTAAACCAATTTTAAAAGACACAAAGACTTGGCATAGTGTACAAACACAACGGATGTAATCTCCGCTTTAACTACTTACACGGGGCCACGGGTGTGTCTTAAGCACATCACCTGTTCTACCTGGTGTATGTAGGTCATACCTCATGTACACGTGTGTCCTCACAATTGTAATTTGACCCCACACATTTGTACAATCATGTTTCAAAGTATGCCACTGGTTGTCTAATTTGAACGAACACATTCCTCCCTGACATCGAATTACACCTAACAGAAGTACGTGAAAGGGTACACTATGCTCCAATGAGAGCAGCCCAGCTGATAGGGAAGGGACGCTTAATTGCCCATGGAAAATTGAGGCTAGGTGTGTTGATTCTGGTGAATATGTATTCATTATCCGATTTGTAACAAGTTGAGTCGCATGACTGAAATATTTAGACTTGTAAGGATGTAATTATTGTGGAATTCAAGACATGTTTTTCAAGCCTAATGGATGACCAGGCGTATCTTCACACATTGTCACGCCCATCATATAAATGGGAAAATTTCCGTTTTATAAAACGTATAATTTGAGTGTGCTGAATACGTGGTCTGTATGTTATAGAAGTAAATGGGGTTTTTTTTATAAATGTTTTCATGGAAAACAAAACTGCATGGCATAGGAGGGACCCAAATTAAGTTATCTTATCACACACCTTAATCTGTAACAAGAATTTCTTGTATTTCAAATTGGGTAATTAGCGGCACTTGAGCTAAAATATTAGTCACAGTCCCATGACACAATGTACGATAACAATCAACGGGATTAACAAGATGACGAAGATTAAAAGAGATAAACGATTTAAAAACACTGCAGTACTTAAAACATCACAGATTCATTATACCACATCCATCGTCAGCCAGTCTGCCCCCTTTAGGTAATGGAAGCTGATGGGTATTTAACGCCGTACTGCAATGTGTCGGTCTATCACAAATTGCCATCTACGTAATGGGTGAAAACTGTTATATTGCGTTGCGAGTTTCAAATTACGACTTGTTGAGACACTTGATGGCCTCCCTCCTTAATAGTCATCATGTATGGTTAATTGTGGAACACTCCTACACACAGGGCTCATAGTTTAAGGTAGACAACACTAAATGAGTTCTTAAGAACATTTCTTTTATCTTAACCAAGTAGATGGCGCATCGCAGGTTACATTTTAAACTGTTGTAATGGTTTGGAAGTTTGAAATACGTCTGTCTTGAACAGTTGTTGTCAAAGTGCGAGGCTGCCAAGGCTTATAAGCATCAGTTTTAGTGGGAGGGAGTTTAGTTTTACAGAAAATAATCCTTGCGATATAATCAAGTTTACTCTCTGCATATTTGTGTATACATGTTTTTACTTGCTCTTGTATGTACTATTGATGTCCATAACCTACTAGCCGTCGTCAATGGCGCAGTGGTTTTAGGCCCACATGTCTCTGTGCAATGGGCCAGTTGAACAAAGCGATCTTAGTGCACAATCTATCATAACTACCATACTATAACATTGACTTGTGACAGCAGTAGCGCTGAGGTCGCTTCGTGGAATGGGTTCCAGACCGGATCCCAGATCTGTTGGTCGGGGTGAAGGTCACAAACTCGCTCTGAATATTATTGCCCATCTTTGTCAGCACTGACCCCAGGCTGGTGGGTCTCCTGACACTGGTCAACGTCTAGAACCTGCGTCATTTTATGTTCCTCCTATATACATAAACTCAAATTGCTACGACCAGATAAGGATAAAATAATATGTCTTAAGAAGTACGCCTGGTTGGCCTTGTATCTGTTTGTTTGTTTGTTGTTTAATGCCGCACTCTGCAATATTCAAGCTTTCTGGCGGCGGTCTGTAAATAATCAAGTCTGGGACAGAAAATCCAGTGACTGACATCATGAGCATCGATCCACGCAATTGGGATACGATGACACGCATCAACTAAGTCAGCAAGCCTGACCACCCGGTCCCGTTAGTCGCCTCTTACGACAAGTATAATCACCTCTTACAGCAAGCATGGGTTGCTGAAGACCTATTCTATCCCGGAACTTCATGGGTCTGGCCTTGTGGGAGCTGTGTTCGTATGTTAGCACTGAGTGGAATAATTTGGTTCAACGCAGCTTTGAACCCTAATCCAGTTATTGTTCATTATGTCATCTTGACGTGGGATGAAAGCCCACATAAATATAAGACTAAGACGTTTATCACTTTTGTGAAACCCACCAGGGAAAATATGGGATTTTTATCGAACCCACAATCTCAGGATTTTGGCACGCCCAAAAGACTCAACTGTGCACATTGCAACGACTTGGCCACCCGTTCGTTCTCCCCTACCTAGACTTGCACAAGTCTCTAAGGCAATACTTATTTGTTTAAATTACAATTTCCTGATTATGTAAATAATTAGAACACATTTTCCCTATAAGAGACCGAAGTCCTCACTACTGTCACATATCTAGACTTGCCTATTAGGAGGTAAGAATTACTTCACATCCATGGACGTTTCTTTAAGTACAGCCTTGGAGCAAGGCTATCCCCTACCCTACCCAGATACCCAGACAATTACAGTATCGACTGTGTTATAATAGTTCACACACGGCTTTCCGTTCGCAATATATGCCATGTCTCGAATGTGGAACCTCACCGCAATGCTGAATAAACATAATCAAAATTCCTTTCTGAAAGAGTCTGATGTATGATGTCTCCAGTCAACAATGCAACCACCGAAAGTCAACATTGTGATAACATGCAAGGTCGCCCGTACCCGTTCATCGAATGACTATGTATACACGTGAGCACATTGATATGGAGGGCTTAACCTCGACATTACAATAACCCGCACCGGGACCTTTTCACATCTTTATCAAAATAAATTAGGTCGCACAGCCTTTACGGAGTTCAAACCACGGACAAATGACGCTGTCGTTGGTGACACCACTGACGCTGTTTCGACCCTTAATGAAGTTGGGGGTACAGGTGGCCCAGTTGTCTGATGGAACGACGTGCAGAGTTGCGTCCCTTAGGCTTGCAAGAAATATATGATCGTTTGTTCGAATCCCGGTTCGATCTGCTACGATACCTGTGCTCGAGGGCTTCACAAGAGTGATAAACATATAAGACCTGCGTTACTTCCACTCAGCTTGACGAGATATAACTGAAATACTGTTCAACGCGGCGTTAAGCCAACCTCACTCACTCTTAAAGAGGCAGTCACATTCTTACACCTCGAATTCAATCTCGCTTATCCAACCGTTCGGATTCATTGGATATCTGTTATCTGACGACCGCCTCCGTGGTCTAGTGGATAGAGCGCTTGCCTGGAGAGCCGAAGGCCAGGGTTCGATCCACGGCCGCGTCAAAAAAACGTTAGAAGAAGGTGTTTGTTGTTACCCTGCCAGGCACCCGGCATTAAGGGGATAAAACAAGGACTGGTACGCTCGCAGTCAGATTACTGTGTGTGTGTGTGTGTGTGTGTGTGTGTGTGTGTTAGGTTTCCATGCGCGCGCGCACGCACGCACACACGCACACACACACACACACACACACACACACGTCGCTATATGAGAGCAATAATCCTGAACGTGACCACATCACCATCTGTTATCTTACACATAAGCAATATGTACTGAGTTGAGCCGGGCGGTATCGACACGCTATATTGATGCCAACACCCAGCTAGTCATATTACAAAGTCCTGAACATAGCAGATATGTCGGATGCTAGAAAGCTCCTCGCAATTTAATAGTTTAACAGCCATCGTTTTTAGTTAATATTATCTTAGAGACACGCCTCTTCTTAATA